CCCCAAAACCCCAAAACCCCAAAACCCCAAAACCCCTAAGTAATATGAATAAATAGATAATAATTATATTGCAATTATTAGATGAGTAAGGATGGAAGATGAGAAAACTGGAGAGACGTTAGTCTCAACCTCGACCCCTCACCACGCAAGGTCAAACATTCAAGATCGAATGTCAGGAATGTTAAATTTGCACCAAAATTAGTCCGGCTTGATAAATCACCTAAATAAAACCAGAAGAGCACGGAAAATACTTGTAAGGGGCATTTAACTCTAAGCCAAAAGCACTATAATTTTGGATTTTAAACATATTTTCTTTTTGAAATAGCATACCCTAGTTCTTGTAGTTAATCCTGATTTTATAGAAGAAGCCAGGGGAATCAGGAAGCCGAATCCGAGGGGTTAATTATCAGCTTATTAAACTATGAGAGGAGGTTTATGAGACGAACCAGATCGAAACGACACTGAAAAGTCCTCTAAATGACAAATTACTACATACCCAGAAAAGCCGATCAAATAAAGTTAAGAAGGAGGCAAAGGTGTTTCAAGAAATTATTAGTGTCAGAAAGGAGAAACGGCTCAAAAGAATCGCTCATAAAAAGAAGTTGGTTGTTAAAATCTCTCCTGAAAGGAACATCTGTGAGCAAGGAAGTAGCTCCTCATTCATTCAAGACGAGAATGAAGGTAATTTACTTTTAAAATATATATAGATGAGGTGAGAATCCAAAATAGGGAGCAAACACCTACATTTAAAAATAAGAAAAAGCTACGCAAAGTGTCAAATATTAAAAATTCGTTTTCATTAAGAGTTTCGAAAAAGACTCAAAGGAAGAGGCCAAAGTACAAGAAATCCAGGATTTCAGAAAGTGAGCACGATTTCTCCTCAAACAGAGAGTATTCTGAAGAGCAAGGGAGGAAAGCAAACAACTTATTCTCGAATCATTGTATCACAAATTCTGTGTTAACCAAGCCTGAAACCAAGATCGTAGACATTTCGAAGTCCACTTTGTCATCCTTGAAACAATCTAGAGCAAAGAGCATCATGAATTCGGGAAAGAACCGAAGATATGTTGATGCATCTCTTGCGTCTGGAGAGTCTAGCTGGAATTCCGAAACCATGAGCATTCTTCACAGTGTGAAACCAAGAAAGTATGGCAAGCTTGATGGCGAAAAGAAACTGGAAAGTATATTTAAAATATATAACCGGAAGGATATGATCTCTAAAGTTAACTCATTAAGGAAGAATAACCACAAGGAGAACTTCAGAAGTAACCATTTTAAGGTGACTACCCCTAGTGAAGACGAATATGATTCCTCCTACTTGGGGAAGCTAGGACGAAGCAAGAATAAAATCAATACTTCGTTGAATAGTTTCAAATAAAAGATCGAATAATTTAATTCCAGAAGTGATTGAAGGTGAGATGAGTCAAGACGCTACACCTAACAGCAGTTCGAAGAAAATCAAGAATTTTCATGTCAATGAAGATCATTCTGAATCTCTGAGGAAGACTGTTCATAATTTTAACGAAGCCACTCAGATTAGTTCTGATGAAGCTAGACACCAGCTTGTGAGAAAAGCTACTCACACAAGTAAAAATAGAAGGATGTTAAAAACTTATATGAACAATAACATGCAAATGAAGACATTCGTACCTCTTCGATCACAGCAAATGACAGCCAGCGAAGTTAAGAGCAATATTCAGGAAGATGATTCTTACCTCCCGGCTGAGACAAAGACTTTGAATTCTCGAGAGAGTCCTGATAATCACCTCTCAAAAATATATGTACGCTCAGGGTATCATGAAAGAGGAACTTTTAGGAACGCTCATTTACATAAGAATAACTGTAGCCTCCAGAGGTCGATTCCTAGGAACGAATATATGCCGTCTTCACTCTGAGGGAACAGCTATATGGATTTGAGTAAACCCTTGTTTCATAAAAGGCACTTGGAGTAAGCTCCAAACGATCAGATACAATAAGTGCTACCAAATCTGGTAGGCATATTTAAAACAAATCTCATGTCCCAATAGAACCTGAGGGATACTTATTAATTGTTGATTTTAACTAATCTTCAAGTAAATTTAGTCCGGATTAAGCCAATTTTGAGCATAGCTAGTAATAATGAGCATCTAGAGGATATAAAAATCTATCTTTTGGTCTCTGGAAATAGGAACTAAACTTCCGTTTCATTTGTAAATTTTATTTTTGGAAAATTTTGGAGAGAAAAGTTACTAAATTAAACAAGGTAGCTGATTATAACATCAATTTTGGTAGATAAAGTTCCTAATCTCCTCCAAACTTGGTCAGATACCTGACTCAGAATATCTATGAAGGATGCCTTACTTATGATAAGGGATAATTGTATGTTTAGAAACTATTTATATTCCAATCCACTTTCCATTATTGATATACTTTCAGCCATTTCTGGAATAATTGGGGTTTTGGGGTTTTGGGGTTTTGGGGTTTTGGGGTTTTGGGGTTTTGGGG